TCTCAGGCAGGCAAAACCGATAAGCACTCACTCCATTTTACTGGCTACGTTTTGGGCTTAGCTTGCTCTGCTTGATTCTCTGGCTCCCTTTTCTGCTTTTGCACAAATCGAGTATGTGTTTCTATCCTCTCTCCTGATGGTCTCCGCCACTCCCACTTAGCCATTGTCTCCTTACAGAGGACAGCCGTGTCCTTACCTCTGGTCTCTCCCTTTCTCAGAGAACACTCACACATCGTTTCTATCTGGTGTCCCACAGGCAGGCACTGCAACTTTAAATGTCTAAAACCAAGCTTGCCACCATCCTCTCAAAGGTATTCCCCCCCCCAGATTCCCTTATCACACCAGTAGCAACATCCTCTTTCTACTTTCCCAGAGTTGTAACCTCAAAAGTCGTTCTTTGACTATTTCCTCTGCATATTTTTTTTCTGCTTTATGTGAACTCTCCGTAGTTCTTTATCATTATGTCTCTTAAGAATGTATCACTTTCCCTCTGGTTTTATAGCTACTGGTGTATCTGATTTATTTCTGCAAAAATTATTTAGGTTTCTTGATGGGAGGTGTGATGGCTTATTTATGTTTGTACTATTTCTTTCTTGGTTGTCACCCTCCAGCTTCCCTTGCCTTCCACTGTTTCTGTCAGTATTATACCCAGGATTTTATGATGCAATAAATATTTGTTGAATGAAGAAAAGAATTGATGTGCTGTGTAGTATAATTACATGGTCATTATATCTGGTTTTGACAAGGAAAGCCAGAGCCTGACAGGAGTTAAAGCAATGAAGACAGAGTTTATGCAAGAACTATTGCAGTGGGGGAGCAGGGACCTCCGTATAGAACTGGGCTCAGTTCCAAGTACATCACGGACAGGTGGGGGTTTACAGTCAAGGAGCAAGGTGGGGGGGGGGTCAGTGGATGGGAAATTACTAAGAGGAAACATCAAGCTTAGGGAGGGGTTTTGGTTTACTAGACCTCAGAAGATTCCTACTGAAGGCAGTCCGGGATAATCAGATCTCAAGGGTGAGAAATGAGGAGTGGGCCAGATATTAAGGGTGATCAAATATTAGCGATGGGGGATTTCTCCAACCTGACTTAGCAGGACTCTTGCTAACACTGGGGAGTGCAGGCCCCAAAGGATGGAGGCAAGGCTGAGACCTAGATGGCTTAGAAGAACCTGATTGAAGTTTGGTCCAGTAGAGAGTGTGTGTCATCCTCTAAGCTGTGTAATTTCACATCTTGCCTAACTCATTGGCATTTATCCTGGGCAGATTTCCACTGTAAAAAATGCTAACGGAGGAACTTGCCCTCATTATTCAACCTTCCCCGTCCCCTTTTTGCTCCAGCCGCAGCATTTCCACAAAGATCTATCTGGGAAAGAAGAGGGAAAAAAAACCCCAACCTTCTGACTAGTCAGCTCTGGAGGAAGACAGAGCAGAGGAAACAGAAGAAGAAATGCCTGGGACTATGTGCTAAAATGATGTTGAATATAATTTGGGGTCTTATTTATGATACAGGCCAAAACCTTCTTTTCTCTACCATGACCTGACTTTGGTGCTTCCTGTGTATAAGGCCCTTCCGAGATCACTTTAATGGGGTAAGAGACTGGCAAGTAGGAGGTTAAGTCCACACTAAGAAAATATCTTTAGGAAGAAGTCAGCCCCCTGTGCATTCGTGCGCCTGCCGGCGGGGGTGTGCGTCCCCTAGCAGAGAGCTCACAGGGCCACAGCACACATCTGGTGGCGCTCTTGAGAACAGCAGTTTTGTAAGAGCAAACAGATGGAAGGAGGAACAGCTGAGTCCAGGAAGGCGAAGGAGGGAGTGAGAGCACCTGAAGGCACATGCCGTTCTAGTTAATCTCCTTGCCTATCTGCCCAGGAGCGCTTGTGGGCCACACTGGCTTCACAGTTCCTTCAGTGTTTGTTTTGGAGGAGAAGGGGTGTGTTTGAGAGGACGTTTGGACTTCCTCAATGGTTCTACCGGTTCTGCTGTCACCCTCACTGTGCAGGCCCTGGGCGCTCATCCTGTTTGTCTCTGCTCTGGGCAGCACCGCCCTTTCTCAGAAAGCTGCCTTCTTTGTGTGAGGTTCAACTGTTTAATCAAAGCACAATCAAAATCAATATTGTTTGAAGCCAAACAAGGTGCTGTGTAATGCTCTTTGCATTCTACTTGCTGGAAGATAGCTGTTTAATTAAACTAACTAATTAATTTTCACTCATAACTTAGCTCCTTTGTTTTGTTTTTAATTAAAATATAGTTGGCATTCAATATTATGTCAGTTTCAGGTGTCCTACCTAGTGATTTGACGTTTGCAGACATTGTGAAATGGTCACCGTGCTACGCCTAGCAACCATCTGTCCCATGCAAAGTTACTGCAGTATTATCGACCACGTTCCTTATGCTGTGTATTGTATTCCCATGGCTTTTTGTACCTTTTAGTACCCTACACCTATTTCACTTCCCCGCTTCTGACAACCACTGTTCTCTGAAGGTAGAAGCTATTTTAAATAAATCAGGCTGCCATTAATTCAGTTTTTCATGCTATTAGTATTCTATCCTCATTCTAAAATCATAAAGCAAAGCCTAGAGGTTTGTCATCTCTCTTCCTTTTTGTTCTTTCTATATAGATCGCCAAGACTCTCAGCTATTTTGCAGTGTTGATTATGTATTCGACTGCATTGTTTATTTTTCCTAACCATATATAGGAGAGTGTCTTTAATAACGTACAATGAGCAATCTGGGCATCCTTAAGGATAGTGACTTTAAAACTCTTGATCGCCATTTATAGTGAAAAATGAACTTTACATTGTGTGGTCCAGTGTACACGTGCATGCTACGTACAAAGTGTAACTGAAGCAAAAGTTTGATTAAGTCATACTTACCCTTGTGTGTGACGCACTCTCAGTTCCTATTATATTGTTTTTCACTTACAGAATGCTGACTGTGACTTAGTGGATTTCCTGATTCACTGATGGGTCACAATTAGAGTCTGAAAAGAACTGCTTAACAGTCATCAAGTTTTAGGAAGTCTTATACTGTTAATTCTGAGACTTTGCAAGTTATCTTTGAGCAGCTTCCCCTTTTCCTCCTAGTTGATAGTTGGAGGAACTTGAAGTCCAAGTCCTTAAGACTTCCTCGCAGGGAAACAGTGCTGCTCTGTGTTTACCCTGCTACACCTATTCCTGGAGTCCTGCAGTGGGGCGGTTGAACCACAGGGACTCTGTACTTTTTGAGCCTAACATTTATGCTCCGGGGTGTCTTCATGGTAATGAATAAACTACACCCGCTTTCTCTCCCTCAGTTGGCTTTTGAGCTATTTTCTCCCTCCATTAGTTTATTGTCCCCTATTCTTGGCCTAAGAGAAGACTAACGCAGCATTGAGTGTGCTGTCTCCTCTTCCAGGGGTGGTGCACAGCCGTCACTGTCAGGAACCCAAAGGAGAGTTTGAGTTCAGTAAAGAACAGCTTTAGGCACATACTAAATCATTAAAAAAAAAAAAAAGTCTGTGCATTTTCTTTAAGGCAACTGAAGCTGTAGCCTTCAACAACTACCTATATTTTGATGTGTTCGATGTTTTTTCATCTTTCTGTCATAAACAGTAGTGATCTCTTTTTACCAAATCTTACATTTTTAATTTGACTGTTTCTGTTGTGAAAGGAATGGCAGCACTTTAAGGTCAAACAATTAACAACAACTTTGGAGTTCTCAGCACACTCAGTTCATAGTGTATTAGTCAGCACGAGCTGCCATAACAAAATACTGTAGACTGGGTGGCTTCAACAGCAGAAATTTTTTTTCTCACGGGCTGGAGACTGGAAGTGCAAGATCAAGGGTTGGTGTCTGCTAAGAGCTCTCTCCTTGGATGGCTGATGGCTGCTTTTTGGCTGTGTCCTTACATGGCAGAGAGAGGGAGAGAACAAGGAAGCTCTTTCGTGTCTCCTTGGAGCAGGGCCTCACCCTAGTGACTTCATCTAACTCTAATAGCTCCTAAAGGCCTCATCATCAAATATCATCACCTTGTGGGTTAAGGCTTCAATGTATGAATGTGGGAAGGACGCAATCCAGTCCATAGCACAAAGCTAAGGTCTCAGTGGGGTTTAAATACTGGCTGAAGTATACAAAGAAATGTTCCTTGCACATCTTAAAGACAGACTTTTCTATTTGAGTGAATGAGTGTATTTCATATTCTATAATTCTAATAACATTTATTAGCAATAATAATACATTTAATTTCTTTTGTATTCTTCCTAATAATGCAAGTATATTTAAGAAAGTTTACAATTAAAATATGCCCAAGAGTAAAATGATACTTTGAAAAAGTTATTTCTGCCCAGAATTTTTTTCCAATGCAGATTCTGTTCCTCATTAATAGTTAAATAAATTTCTAAACAGTCTAGCACCATTTTCCAAACTTTATATAATATAAAAAAGCTACCCACCATCGAGAATAATATATATCTTAGCAAACAACCATTTGTGCTAAAGACATATTTTATAACCACTTTTATATATTGAAATTATTATCAGAGTCTAGAATGGATGAATTTCTTGACCATGAAACTGTAAGGGAACCAGGTGTTTGTCTGCAAGAAATGCTATACAGACCGACTCCAGTAGCCAACACAAAACACCTAATCAAACCAAAGAAAAACAGAGAGGGAAGGTTGAGGATACAGAATTGTCTTAAACCTCCTTGTGAGAATTACCATCATTCTACTTTTAATATGTTTAAAGTCCCTGGAAATCCCCAAATCCATTCTTATATTTTGGCTGCTACAGGTAGACTGTTGACCGAGATTTTTTTAGTGTGTGTGCTATTTTTCTAGTTTCTAGATTTAAAGAGATGTGGCCTGCTTTATGAGTGTAGAGGTCTAACATTTTTGTAGTGAGTTTTCGTATAGAGATAGTGTTGTGTGTCTAGAGGAAATACTGCCTCTACAGTGTCTATGCTTGCAGCCTTCTACGATGTTGACACGTATATGTTTACTCTGTGTCTTTTCTTTCAGTGTTTATCAGCTGAAGAGATCTTTTCCCTTCATGGCTTTTCAAATGCTACGCAGATAACCAGCTCAAACTTCTCTGTCATCTGTCCAGCGGTCCTACAGCAATTGAACTTTCACCCTTGTGGGGATCGGCCCAAACACAAAACAAAACCAAGTCTTTCAGAAGGTATGTTGGAAGCTTCTTCTCCTATTTGTTGGAAAAGTCTGCAAGCTAGTTTGAAATGAAAGTAAGGTGCTTCTTTTTCTGCTTTATTGCTCTTAATTAATCTACATCAAATTCCTTGAGTAAAAATACTTTTATTCTGGAAGTATTTAGAGTATACATAATTAGAACTCATTTAAGCTTCAGAAGTTATGCTGTTTGATTTATGGAGTCAAAATTTTACTTGGTACCAATTGAAAATTTTAGAAAATTCGGTTCTTGATTTTGAACAATGTGTTTTATGCCGTGTATATTGGATGGCACATTCACTATTTGGGTCATAAGTGACCAATTTCCATTACCTTCTAATCGTATTATTTTGAAACTGTCAGTTTATCTGCCATTGTCAGGAAAGGGATAAAGGAACTAGTGTGGGTCTAGAGTAAATCTTAAGGTACTGAGTTATTAGTGCTTTAATTTTCATAAATGAAAGGAAACACCAGTGCCTATTTTAAGTGCCTGTGATGATGTTGCCATAGATACTGAATTAAAAAAAGTAACCTGCAAAAAAATGTTTAAAAAAAGAAGTGTGTCCTAACTGGTTAGTTCACATACTCCATTAAATATGTAGAAGGGTTCTTTCACCAGTGAGAGAAACCAATTGTTGAGGCGTTATTTTGCTAGCTCTGTGCAATTTCTTGATATTCTCAAATTGCCACCGTATCCCACACGAGTATTTTAATTCTTATTTTTTGTGCTCCTTTATGTTCTGTGTATTAAGTATTCAGCAGTGAGCAAGAAGCAAAAGTACAGTAAAAGCACAGATTCTGAAGTCAGCCCACCGAGGCTCACCTCCCAGCTCTGCAGCTTTCCAGCTATGTTGTGTGCTTGACTTTACGTCTGTGGGCTATCTGCCTCACTTTTCTCATTTAAAATAATACCTTTCTTATAAGGTTCTATAAGGATTAAATAACAATGTTTGTAAAACATTTAGAGTACTATCGGGCACATAATAGGTACTATATATATGTCTTTTAAATAAAATGTGTTTAACATGTACATAATTCTGGGGACAGGGGGAGAAGCTTCAGAAAAAGCAAATCCTCTACTCTGTGCAAGTCAATTACTGATACTCAAAAGTGTTTTAACCCCCATTCCCAGGTTACTCTCAGGAACCAGGTGGGAGGAACAGGGAAGTGGGAAGCAGTAAGTGGAAGAATTCTAGGGTCAACACTGAAAAGTGTAGGAAAATCAACACTTCTTAGTTACAAGATCAAGTAGACTCTGACTATTTCGACCCAGGACCCAATAACGAAAGAAATGCCTCTTAGGGTGCGTGTTATCTTAGGAGTTTAAATAAGGCTGGAGTGGGTGGGATTGGGTGAGAGGAGATAGAGAAAAGTTTCTTGAGAACTAGAGGAACTAGAAGAATACTCACTGCTCATCTAAGATGTTGAATTTGATGGCAAATTCTTGCCTATACTTGGTGTAATATCTTAATTGTTTCATTTTCGTGCAGCTGTGCAGTCTTGGGTAACTTATTTAATGTCTCTATGCCTCATCTGTAAAATAGAGTCATAATAGTACCTTTCTTACAGAATTACTGGGTGTATCATATGAGTTAATACATGCAAGCACCCAGGACAGTGCCTGGTACAGAGCAGAAAGAATATGTCTTCACTCTTCTTATATATGTGCTCATAGGTTCACCCCATTCCCTGGCTGTGTGTAAGCTTGTCCTTTTCTCACAAAGAAATCATTTTTTAACTACTGAAATGCATTGGATTCTTGATATAACAGTTCACCTAATATAGAGTCAATTTTGAGCTCATTTAAGGGAATGAAAAACCAAAATAAAAGCAATCTAAAGGAGTCATGATACAGAGATTTTATGAACACATTTACTCTGATATTTCAGTGAGCAGGGCAAAGAGTTTTATTTATCTGAAACCTCACATTTTGTGGTTTTTAAATTGCCTTTCAGGTGCTTTATGAACTCATACTGATGAGTGCAATAAACTGATGGCAAATTAAATTCTCTACGATATTAAGTACATTTTAGCAAGAAATTAATGGCCAAAAGTTGCCTCACTTTTTTTTTGCAATCACAGAATGCGGTTCAATTCAAGTAACAGATAAGAATAATAGAATTTTACTCGAAGTGTCCCTGAAAATCACATTGTCTAACTCGTAATACAACCAGTGACATAAATCTATGCTCCAGAGAGGTTAGGTGGCTTCCTCTAGGTACAATATCTGAGATGGGATGACAGCCCAGGGCTCCTGACTCCTGCTTTGTTGCTCTTTCATTGTTTAACAGTGAGATAAATGAACTGAAATTTACATAATGTCTACTTACTAATTTTTTAAAAAAGTAATAATAACACTTACTGAAGACTTACTGTATTCCAGGGACTGCATTAACTGGTTTTATTCTTGTAAAAACTCTATGAACTAGGAGAATTCAATGAGTTTAAAAAAGTGAAGTTCTTAGAAGAATCTTAACACATTCTGGGCATTCAATAAATATTAGCTGTTGTTACTAATATTGCTTGTAATGTATTAAAAATCCTTCAGAGTTCACTGAGAAGCAGAGAGAAAGGATTCTCCCTGAAGCACATCATTAGAGGGAGTCCTATGGGTGTATAGAGCAGTCCAAGGAATGCTTTTATACCAATTCAATCTTTGGTGCCCAAGTTGAGTGGATGAATGGATTTTTTTTCTTGAATAATGTTCTAATGATATTATGATACAAGAAGGGGAAACCATCTGCAGTGCAATGGTTCACACTTCCACAGTTCCCCAGGTGCTTCTGATAAAAAGTGCACAATAGTAAGGAAGGTGAGAAAAATTGGACAAGGAAATGAATTGGTATTTTTTTGACAGAGTTCTGGGCTGCACCTTGAGATATGGCATTCATTAATTCATTCATCAAGAAATGTGTGCTGTTTGCTAGGCAATGTTCTAGGCACTGAGGATGAATAAAATATAGCCCCTGTCCTTGAAAATCTTATAATTTGTATTAGGTAGACAAGTATAGGAGTGATAGAATGATGGTAGCATACAAGAAATGGTGGACGGTCCACACACCTTCAAACAAAGAGCTGTGGGAAACATGACAAACAAGGCACTTCTGCCTGGAGGAGCCAGGAAAGCGTCTTAGAGGAGATCTTTGAGGTGGCTGGGAGAGCCCTGTGTGAATCTGTCAGGCAATGAAGATAGAAAGGTGTTTCCAGATAAAGAACCACAGTGCAAAGCTAATTCTGCTTTTGGAAAACATTGTATCTGCATAAAGGCTGTGTTGATCTGGGGTAAATAACATTGGAGAGGTGGTGTGGCAGTCTGTTTATGAAGGATAGTTGTGAATAGAGGCACAAGATGATTTGAGCTGTGTTTTGGGATGCTAAGTCTGGTGGCCATGCCAAGTAGGGGGAGGAAGACCAGACAGAAAGCTGTCATAATGTGTCAGATGAGGAGAGTGAGAGATGAGAGCCTGGACTCAAGGCATGAGCAACGGGAGGGAGAAGCTGGAGCGAGAGAGATCTCAAGCAGAATTGATAGCGTTTGGTCACTAATTATCTTTGGAATTGATTGTGGAGAGTGAGAAATTGAAATTGATCCTTATCCTTCTGCTATTTACAGAAACCATGAACATGGGCAGTGAAATAGAATTTCTCAGGGGAACCTGATGAATTTAATATGTGTAGTGGCTTTTCCTCCATTTGGTGCTCAAAAAATTTTTTGCATTTTGCTTTTAGTTTCAGTGTGTATATATCTTGTCTACCCAGCTGGATTATATTTGTTGAGTGAATGAATACATATAGGCTAGTGATGGGATGGAAGGTTAGGACAACTACACATTGATATACCATGGAGGAAGAGGTGGGACTGAGAACTTAGTCTAAGTGGGAACTTTGAAAGGAGTGGGTAGTATTGTTTTAGGTGATAAGATAAGAAAAAGGAAAGAGGTGGACCTTTGTGAGTCCAGTGAGATGACTCTAGGGCATGATCAGAAGTCTGGGACTGATAGGAAAGTATCTGGAGAAGAGAAAAGTCATGGTCGGTGCTGTGATGGTTCTTGTGGTAACATAGTAAAGTTTATTATCTGTCCTTTTCACTTGGTATCCAACACAAGCTAGCTTGTCTTGCTCTGTGTGTGTGTGTGTGTGGCTGCTTGTCTCCCCAGGCAAAGGATCCAAGATCCTTGTTGGCAGGAACCACGGTTTGATCTACATCCTGGACTCCATAAACATTTGCTCTGGCTGTTTATTTGTAGTTAGACTCGCTTGAACTAGAGTAATGGTGAGCAATCCTGTATTCATGAAGCACGGTATAGAAGGTCCACAATTTTGTTGAGTCCCTTGGGCTTTAGTTAGATTACTTCTAAGGAGTAACGAAGCACATTGCTAATGAACGTGGGCTCTGGAGCCGGACTGGGTTGGAAATCTAGCATTCTATCCACGTGACTCTGGCAGCTTATTTGAACTCCACATGCCTTGGTTTCCTCAACCGTATGAAGGAGGTAGTAGCAGTACTTACCTCAGAGGGTTTTGTGAAGATCAGATGAATTAATACACATTAGTCACTTAGCGCAGTGCCTGGCATGTGGCAGACACTCACCAAGCGTCTGGTGTTACTCCGCCCTCTACTGATCGTGTTGACAGAGGAAAGCGGCCCAACATTTAAAAATGTTTTCTGGGCATTTTAAAGAAGTGACAGTGCAGGGGCAGCTTTCTAACCTTTCACACTGTTCCTTTGTGCACAGAAAATGGGGCCACAGGCAGAGCCAATGTCCCGCAAGTGCAGGGGCCTATTTGTATACAGCCGGCACTGCCGTCCACCACTGGCCGGTTCACACGGTCTGTTCCCATTTTGTTTTTAAACCAAGCCTTCTAGGATAACCAGGGGGATATTGAGGCCCAAAGCAACAGGTCACACATGTCATTAGCCATAGATCTCAGGATACCACTCATTCACTTCATTCTAAGTAATGTTTATGAAGCACCTATTGGGAGCCAGGCCCTGGGGTTGGAGAGAAGAGGGCACCAACTCCTTTTGTCACCACTGGTCTCCACCGGATGGGCTATTTTTGCCTTCATCCGAGCCAGGTAGGGTGGGCTGTGCAGTGTGTCTGCTTTGTGCTGCCGGCTTGTGCTGCCTTCCTGAGTGCTCACTGCACTGAGGCTCCCTGGGGGCCCGCAAGCGGGCTGAGGTGCTGCTCCCCCCGCCACGGTGGGGGTGCTGTCCACAGGCGCCTGCAGACAAGTGATTATGGCAAGCTCAGTGTCAACAACTGTGGTCATCTTGAAGCTAACTATCCCCACCCATCTCCACCCCTGCCTTGCACTCTCCTCCCATCCCTTCTCCCTGAAACTCACACTGCCTCTCTTATTCCTCTGGAAGGCTGAGTTTTACACTAGGCTTTGAGCCATAGCTGAGACTAGGTAGCTTGGAGCCTGTGGGTCTCAGACGATCACCCTGCTAGATGCTCTCCAAATTCCCTGCAAGCTATAAATAAAGTCCTTAATCCTGTAATGATGATGTAGGACGGATGAAAGCATGGGCAGTATTACTATTAATATTTATATGCTGTATTTATATTCTCAGCTCCCTATGTAATTTTCATTGAGAAGATTTTGTTGTTTTAAAGAAGATACCTGTTTCAAGCTTTTAAAAAAGAAAGTTGTTTCAGGCTTAATGTACAACTTCATTTGGCTCCTTTGCTCTGATTAATTTCTGCTCTTTTCCCTCTGATCCACAGTTTGGGGATATGGTTTCCTGTCAGTGACAATTATTAATCTGGCATCTCTCCTCGGACTGATTTTGACTCCGTTGATAAAGAAATCTTATTTCCCTAAGATTTTGACCTTTTTTGTGGGGCTGGCTATTGGGACTCTATTTTCAAATGCAATTTTCCAACTTATTCCAGAGGTAAGGAGGTTGGCTGTTTGTTTCCGTGAATAATTGTTTCTTTTAAATGTTTCGGTGCTTTGTACATTTTAAGCCTCCATAATTCTCACGGCCTTTTATGGTCTGGTTTATAGTGTTTTGGATAAGAGAAAGCTGAATCACAGCAAATGAAAAGGCTTGTCCCAAGCTGCAGGGGAAGTCAGTGTTAGAGATAAAATTAATATTCTGGGAGGCCAGCCACCAGGACGTGCTCAGACAGCTCTGGGACACCTCGGAGGGCCTTAAAACTCTATTCTGTCTCACATTTGGCAAATTTAATTTTTCTACACTCTTTTATTATTTATATATTTATTTACTTCTAAAGAGCATGCAGTGTCAAATTTACTAAAGATACACAACAAAATTCCTTCATATATTTACAACAGCTATAGAAGACTAGACGATAAATTAGAACATGGTTGACAAACCTTTTCAGTTCTTTTTGACTGTAGGATAAAAATCAATTGAGGGCTGATAACTAAACAGCAGCTTACTTTTTCTCTTTGATAAAATGTGTTATTGATCTGCCATTGACTATAGTGTGCTATTCAAATAACCAACACATAATGTATGTGTTTTACTTCCTGAATCACTTTGCTGTACACCTGAAACGTTGTAAATCAACTATATTTCAATAATAAAAAATGTTTTATTTCAAATCTGTAATGTGATCATATAGGGAAGAGAGACTGAGGGAGGAGACTTAAGAGAGGAAAAGAGAAGGGAAAGAGAAAGAGACCTTAATAGGAGGGAGCCACAAAGGGGAACTAGAGAAATACCTACACACGTGGATCCTATGCACACACGAGGATGCAGGGGCAAGCTCCAAACAAAGGGAAAGTTGTACCACCGCCAGCTCCTAAGTTTTAGGAAATTTTAACCGAAGTTCCTTTTAGTTTTTGCAGCTGCGTGTGAAAGTAGGGATATAACTTCCAAGACATAGTTTTTATTTTATTATTGCTATTATTATGTTTAGAAAGGACCTAGGAGAACATCTACTACAAACTCTCAACTGTAGAGATGAAAAAATTAAAATCCAAGGGGGTTAAATGACTTGATTGTAGCCACCTCATCAGCTAGTAACAAAGCTAGGATGACAAAACACACGATCTGATTTAAAAAATTATATGTAATAGTATGTATGTAATATATTTAACATAATATATTGCATCTTTAGCTCATCTGATTTCTGTGTCAGATTAAATTAAACTGATACTGTATGTGGACTGAAGATTGTACTTTTATGATTTTGAGGTTTTCTATTTTATTGAAAATGTAATTATACATAAAAATGTCTATTAGGAAAATCAGAAACTTCTTTAACGGCACATACAAATGTTCTTTTACCTTTCCGTGATAATTAGGAAATTATGAATGTGATCAGAGAATTGTGGAAACACTAAAGAATCTATCTTTTTAATAATATCCCAAATTTATATAGATAGTTATTTCTTCTTTTTTTTGGCAAAGTTATTTCCCTTTTGTTATTTCATTTTATTTTCATAACCTCTTAGATCTTTGGAGTGGGTATTTTTTATGCCATTTTTACACTGTATATAAATAGGCACAGGGACGTCACTAAAATGAAGACGTGGTGTGAGGTCTCCCAAGAGACAGACGTAGAGCAAGAACCCGGCGTCCTCCCTTCCAGACTTCTGTTCGGAGGAGAGAGTCACAACGTGTGGAATGATACAAAGCTGTGGCTTTTCACGCATTACTCTCTCCTCTTATTTTGTTTAAGTTTGTGCTTCTTGTCTGCTAGGAGCATCTTGACTCTATGTAACTTCAAGCTCCAGCTCTTGCCCTCTGTCCTTTAAACGATGAATTATTTCCTCTTCGGTCTGTGTGTGCCGGGTATCTTGAATCTTTTCTTGTTTATTCTTGGACTCAGTCTTTGGTTTATTTATCTCTTTAGGACTTATTCAGATCCTCTAAGGTCAAGAGGGTTTCTCTTGGGGAAACAGTAACCCAATTGACCTGCCATACTTGCTTTAAAAATTTGGATATGGTGGGCAAATATGTTACTTTTAGGAAGAAGTGGATAATCAATGTCTCATTTATCTTTATTACCCATATCTAATGTTATTTCATAAATAAAGGAATCACTGCTGCTGTTTTACTATTAAAATTTTACTTTTTTAAGGCAGATATTGCTGAAGGTTTTATAGCTAGGAAACTATAAGATCCTCTGGGGGCTTCACTTAATAGGACTTCTTTTGGTTATAAGACTTCTGTGCCATCTCTTACAGTTTGATTACTCAAATTTCAGAGTTTTTGTTTTGTGATTTTGGTGGGTTAATTCCAAATATTACCTGGGAGTGAAGAATGGACTTAGAACGTTGGTGAAAATTGTATACTGAATCAAAGTAAATTACTTGGCTTTATCTGAATTGCCCTCCTTTCTCCCTTAGGCATTTGGATTCAACCCTAAGATTGACAACTATGTTGAGAAGGCAGTTGCTGTGTTTGGTGGATTTTACATACTTTTCTTTTTTGAAAGAATGCTTAAGATGTTATTAAAGACATATGGTCAGGTAAATGGGCTTTATTTCTCATTTATTTGAACAGTGTAGTTTGCTGTTTTACCCACTAAACCTACCTGATAGAGGCAAATACAGGCAGGAATTTTATTCTTACAATTATGCGAGCAGTGTAGATATTAGATTTGTAAATGTGAGGAGAAAGAAAAGAGTCAACGTATTGCTAAGTACAGGAGGAACACTTGATTCGTATTGTAGAATTTGGAGTAAATACTAGCACTTTGATGTCCAATAACAGATGCACATAATTTGTATTCCATTCATATTCATCAGCACAGGAAGGATATGCTCCCTGACATGAAGAAACAGAAGCAGCAGAATCTAATAAATGGGCATACACTTAAAGGGAGAGAAATTTTATAAACCTAAAAAGATCACACCACATACAGAATAGACATACAAATTTTCTCATATAAATAAAACCCACTAAATTCTGTTTTCCTGCCTGTATGTGCCATCTTTTTTCTTCTTGTAACCTTTTCTTCCCTTATTTTTCTGTGTAGAAAGGTCATACCCACTTTGGAAATGATGACTTTGGTCCTCCTCAGGAAAAAACTCATCAACCTAAAACGTTACCTGCCATCAACGGTGTGACATGTTATGCAAATCCAGCTGTCACAGAGCCTAATGGACACATCCATTTTGATAATGTCAGTGTGGCATCTCTACAGGTATTGTAATTCTCTACACTCTGCTGCATCCTTGACACGCTATGGAGACTGCTGTGAATTCAGCCAAGTCAGTATTTCGCACATTTAATTGTGTCAGATTTATTCCTGTATATATGTGGGATAAGCGGAGTGTAAGTCTGTTTCTTTTTCCACTTTCCCTCCATCTATTTACTATAAACACATGAGTTAAGCAAGAAATTGTAGGTTACTAGGTCAGAGGCTTTATTATTCTCCAAGATTGTTTAACTATGTAAGAGTCACATAGATTTATATGATAGCAAAATTAATGCAGAACATTTCTCTTATTTTGCAATTCGTTCAAAGATCCTAAACCAAAGAATCTCTCTGAGTGATTTTGAAACTGAAAGAATATTTGTAAGCTATTAAAATTGTGTTCATTAATTAATTGATTTAGAATGCGTGTTCCCATTTTCTAAATAATGTTAAGAGGTATCATTTCTTGAACATACAGTAAATGCCAGGTAATATGCCAGGGCCTTCTTTTATCTCCCTTAGCTTTTATAGCAACTATTAAAATTAGAGATTATTTTCTACATATTAGAACTACATAGCAAAACTATTAGAACTAAAAGTAGGGATTACTTCCTATGTATAAGAACTATTTGGAAAGCGATCCCAAATTATGTATGCAAAAAGGAGAATTTATTGGAGAGATAATGGGCTGGCTAATGGAACAGCCAAGCCACAGGGAGATCAAGAACCTGGAACCATGGGAATCATCCAGCCTCCCTCTCTTTCTTCTTTCTACATCTCCGAGCCATTCTTTCCTTTTACTGTGGGCTGGCTCCTTCATAAGTGGGAAGCATAGCCACTAACAACTCCTGAGATTCAAGTTTTATAATTTCAGCAGCTAGAAGGAAATTGACCTGCCTCATCTGGTCCTAAATTCACGATTTCTGGCAAGTGTCTCCTTGGTCCAGCTTGAATTAGTCTAAGTGCTTAGACGGTTGGGTCCCTTGTACGGCCCCAAGGAAATGTAGATGCAGCAGAGGAGTGGTTATTAAAAAGTGAGACTGGGATGTCATTGGTGTCCACAGCATTCTCATTTGACAGATTAAGAAAGTGGAGCTTTAAATATTAAATAATATCTTCAGTGTCACTCAGCTTATAAATGACAGATCCACAAGCTACAAAGTTAAACACAATATAAAAGAGAACAATTAAAAATAAAATAAAAAGGAAGCCAGCTAAGTAAAAAAAAAAGCAGAAAGAAGGTATTTGGAAGAGGTTATTAGCACAAATGACCCGAGTTTCCTTCTGGAAAGAAAGCATGATCGGTCTTTTACTTCTTCCCACCTGATTAAGGAAAATCTCAAGTGTATTGGAAGAGGCAGTTTTGTATTAGCACTAAGCTAAGAGAGGGAATTATTTTATGCAAAGTAATGAATGATGCTTTCAGGGAAGATTTTTGCAAAGAATATGGAAATGTTCAAATAGATAATTTCTTATAATAATTGCAGCTAACATTTATTAGATGTTCAAGGACGATGCCTAGAACTTTAGATGAATGATCTCATTTGATCCACGTAACAGCTGAGGAGACAAGCCCTCTCACAATGAGGAGGCTGTGACTTAGGTCAAAAACCAAGGACACACAGCTCCTAATGGCGAGGCTTGAATCAGGCCTGAGGCGTCTGGTATTGAAGCCTGCACTCTTGTCTGCCTTGCAGGACTGCCTTCTGCATGTCACTGCTCTAACAGAACCAAGATGATCACATTAACTCTTAACTTAGTAAACAATAATTTTTGTAGAGGGAAGAAGATAACTTGCCCCCAAGGGCTCTGCTGTCTGAGGACAAATAAAATTGAATGACTCAAAAGTTTGACTTTAGTTTTCAAGTTTTAGGGCTTGGTGATGTGAAAACGGTATGTGAGGGCTTCTTTGATTGATCGAGAAACATCCCATAAGAGGTCAGCAGAGAATTGGATGATGAGAAAGAAGAGCCAGCCACGCAAATATCTAGGAAAATAGTATTCAAGAAGCTTTGAGAATAATCAAACAGATCCCATCCAAGGGAACTGGAAGCTCAGTGGCACTAGACTTGCCAACATCAACGCTGGAGACCAGTGGCACTGTATTCTGTTGAATGTTCTGAATAGAATACACTGTGCAGTTGTGAACCTGGGTGGACTACCAATCCAGTGAGAGAGCAGAATGAAGCTAAGAGTCTGGAGATACACTTCTAGGAATGAGAAGTCCTCCTGAAGGCAGAGAAGGGGTGTGCCAGGACGACACCCATGCACCTGGCCTTGACATGAACTGTAAACAGTCCTGGCACTTGGTTCCTCTGGGGACTGGTTTCTGGACTGTAATCTCCAGTGAAGAGAGATTTTAAACAAATCGAGCATCGTACTGTTATTGTCAGTTTTCTCTTCTTATGGCATTAAAAAAATGGAAAGCAGTGGAATTTAAGAACTACTGTTAGGATCTGTTTTGCTTTAAGAGATAGTGGGTAGAGAAACATGAGCGATACTAATTTTAATAATAAAATTAGAATATTTTCTAATATTTTCTTGGGATAGATTTAACCTGAGTGACCCCATTACAGTGATTGAACATGACGTGTAAAACTCGTGGTTCATTTTGGATTCCAAGTCTAGCTTTGAGAATTTGGTTGATGATTCTTGTTGCGGCTTTTTCAACACAATGAAGTTTTTCCAAATTAAAAATAGTAAGAAACCATCTAAGAGTGAGTGAAGAAAAGTAGTTGTAGCTTGACATTACTATCAAAGGAACACAAATTATGTGACAATCGAGACTATAACAACATGATTCTTGGTTGTTCTGGAATATAGGAAGAACAAAATAAATGTTGCAGAATCATTGAAGTGCATGACTTAGGGATGTCTTTTTTAATATTCATCTTTGGCTCATCACAGAATACTCAGAAATGCTATAAAGTTTAAGTTCAGTTGCCTTCAGCATTTTGTCCATATTCAGTCATATAAAGACCATATTTTACATGTATCTTTGAAAATTTTGTTGCCATGAAAGCATATTTATCATGGTAGGAGGGTAGAATTTTATATGGAACCATCAAAGACCTAGAATTGCCAAAGCATTGCTGAAGTAGAAGATATTTTGTTTAACAGTTTGTTAGCTTGATTTTATATTTAGAGAAATGGTGTGAAACTTCCCTGGTCCCCTTGCTCTAACCTTGATAAATGTTAGCACCACAACCCACGTGGCAGGTGTGTGTGCATTGCTGTGGGCATGTGGGCGCATGCGTGTCTTGGGGGAAAGGTCAAGGTAATGGAGGCGTAATAAGAAGACAGTTTTGAGGGAAGGATTCCATTTCTCCAGTTATTCAGTTATTGCCACTAAGTGATGTTTCTTATCTTACCCTGTGACACTTGCTCGGATCCTTTCTCTCTCTGACTATTGTACAAACACAGGGAGAAGGCATTTCAGTATCTATACGAACAGGTGGGTCTTCCCCCTGTGAGTGTAAGTTTTGGAAGGACTGTGTTTATTAGACATTGCTTCCTCAGGAATGTCAGGTACTTTGGGGAGTGTTAGCTCTTCAAGGCCACTAGAGGGCCCACCTGGCTCATTCCTCCAGTAGTCCGTAATCATTCTCTCTAAGTGAACCTCCTATGCTTTCATTCAAGAACAAGGTCCTGCTCTATCGCATGGGGAATTATATTCAATAGCTTGTAATAGCCTATAATGAAAAGAATATGAAAAAGCATGTATATGTGTAACTGAATCACCATGCTGTACACCAGAAACTAACACAATATTGTAAATCAACTACACTTAAAAAAAACAGGATACCATTAAATACAAAGTGATAGGAGTCATTTGTTTTTTCTTCCTAATAGAAGAAAGATTAATATCAGCCATTTTTAGAAGTTGACTATTGTGAGTTTTATGTTTAAAATCGAGGTTCAATGAAGTGGAATTTAGCTGCCAAGTGTGGTGCTGTTAGGGAGACTTATTTTGTCAATAACTGAAAGGGAGTGATACTCTACAAATACAAAGATAACATTTTTGAGGTGCTTGGGTCTCCATGAGGGTCCAACAGATTTTAAATACACTTCATGATTCAAGTATTTATTGAGCACCTAATATGCACTGACATTATTCTAAGTACTGAGAAGTCATCCATGGACAGAACAGAAAAACTCTGCCCTTCCGTAACTTAACTGAAATGTTATATAATAAACAGAAATACTATATAGAACAGTGGAAAGCATCCTTTTTTTAACATTTTTTATTGATCTATAATCATTTTACAATGTTGTGTCAAATTCCAGTGTAGACCACAATTTTTCTTTCTTTTTTTTTTAAAGTTCAAAAAACAAACCAGAAGCTCTGTGTATCTGTGGGGCTTGTCTACTGCTCTTGTCTCTTGTGTGGTTGGTTTTTCTCCATTCTGGAGAAGGAAGGATGGGGAAATAGGGTGGGAGAAGAAGGGGGGCTGTGAATGTCTGACTCCATACTGTTGTCTTCACTCATGTACTTTACTCCAGGCTTCAGTTTGCTTAGTGCCTTTTTTACTTTATTTTATTTTTGGGTGGAGGAGGTAATTAGGTTTATTTATTTATTTTTAGAGGAGGTATGGGGATTAAACCCAGGACCTCATGCATGCTAAGCATACGCTCTACCACTTGAGCTGTACCCTCTGCCCCTGCTCTGTGTCCTTGAATCGAGGGTCTCTCTGGTTCAGTTTCCCTAGAGGGTAAATCTCCAGTCATTATTTGGGGTGGTTGCCCTGCTGTCTTGGCTTGGGAACAATAATCTGGGGTTTTAATTGCTCCCTAAATAAACTTACAACGAATTCCCTTACTTCTAGTTCCACTCTTTCCCTGCCCCCTTCAGAGAGACTTGGCACCTCCGTTGCCTGAACTTTTCTGAGGTTCTGGGCTCTGCATCCCTTTATTTCTTGTTGACTTTTTCGCTCTGTGAAGCCAGAACTCACCCTCTTCTTTTCGTCTTCCAAAATAAATATCTCAGCGCTCTCATCTTCCAATCT